ACGGGACGTGGAGAAACCTCCCACAGATCCCAAAATCCCTGGAAAACTGGGAATGGGGGGACACCAGGAATTCCTGAATATCCCTGGAGACTCCCAGGGACCCCCAGAGATCCCAAATATCCCCCCAGGAATTTCTGGAGACTCCCAAAGACCCCCTGGAGAACATGGACATGGAAAACCTCCTGGAGAACCTCCCGGGGATCCCGAAATCCCTGGAAAACTGGGAATGGGAGAATTCCTGAATATCCCTGGAGACACCCTGGGACACTCAGAGACCCTCAGGAATTTCTGGAGACTCCCAGAGACCCCCTGGAGAACATGGACATGGAAAACGTCCTGGAGAACCTCCCAGAGAAACCTCCCGGAGCTCCCGAAATCCCCGGAAAACCGGGACCGGGGAAGGTCCCAAGAATTCCCAAAGATCCCTGGAGATCCCTGGAGCCCTTCCCAGCATTCCCAGACCTTGGAGTAGTGCTTGAAGACGTCGGAGGCGCGGCGCAGCTCCAGCCCCCCGTGCAGCAGCACTTTGCAGAACCCCGCCAGGAGCTGCCGGCGCCGGTGGAGATCCTGGATCCGGCCCTCGGCCTCCTCTGCAAAAGGAATGGGAATTCCGGGAATTCCGGGAATTCTGGGAATGCCAGGGCCTCGGGAGAACCCCAGGACCACCGGGATAGTCCAAGGGAGACCCTGGAAACCCTCAGAACCTCCTGGAAAACCCTCTGGAGACCCCCAGGACCAGCGGGATAATTCAAAGGAACTCCTGGATCCGGCCCTCGGCCTCCTCTGGAAAAGGGGAAGGAATGGGAATTCTGGGAATTCCGGGAATTCTGGGAATGCCAGGGCTTCGGGAGAACCCCAGGACCACCAGGATAGTCCAAGGGATCTCCTGGAGAACCCCAAAAAACCTCCTGGAAAACCCTCTGGAGACCCCCAGGACCTCCTGGAAAATCCAAGGGAGTGCCTGGATCTGGTCCTCGGTCTCCTCTGGAAAAGGGGAAGGAATGGGAATTCCAGGAATTCTGGGAATTCTGGGAATGCCAGGGCCTCGGGAGAACCCCAGGAGGGTCTGGAAAATCCAGAACCTCCTGGAGACCCCAAAAAACCTCCTGGAAAACCCTCTGGAGACCCCCAGGACCTCCTGGAAAATCCAAGGGAGATCCTGGATCTGGTCCTCGGCCTCCTCTGGAAAAGGGGAAGGAATGGGAATTCTGGGAATTCTGGGAATTCTGGGAATGCCAGGGCTTCAGGAGAACCCCAGGAGGGTCTGGAAAATCCAGAACCTCCTGGAGACCCCAAAAACCCTCCTGGAAAACCCTCTGGAGACCCCCAGGACCAGCGGGATAATTC